AACCCCGACTGGGGGTCCGTTCTGTCTTGACTCCGGTGCCAGGTTTTTTCTTGTACATAGTGCAACTGTGCTCGATGGGTCTATTTCTATAGTTTCTCTCTTGCTTCGGTTCTAGTGCATTAAGCATTAACCACGGCGTGAAGACGAAGGTAGCTCTTGTTAACAGTGACCATACCCGTCTGGGTGGATGATTCTTCGTCGTTAACAAAGCTTACTGAGCGCTGGCAATGGGGCGGTTTACATTTTCGTTCAACTGATATGCCGATTAAGGATCTTCTAAAGAACCACAGATCTGCGAGAACGTCGGATTGAGCGCTTGCCCAGGTCGGCGTCGGGCTGCTCTGTCGACATTCTGGTGGTGGGGGGCTGGGGTGCTAAAACGGCAGTAAACCATGGTCGAGTTTACCACCCACGAGCACGACGGCGGCCTGAGTTCAGTCACGGAGGACCTGCGCGGTTCTGCTGACGACAGAACAGAGTGGCGGTATCGGCGGGAACCTGTGGAGGTAACTCAAATTGGGTCGATTGAGCGGTAGCTCAGTACAAGGGCGGCGACGACGACGAAGCTGAATATCGTTGCGGAGAAGCACGGTTTCGGTTTTACAAGCCGAAAGATGATGCCAACCAAGCTGGGTCGCATGAGTATGAGTTAACCCGTCGAAGCTGTATGTCTAGGGTAGAAGGTCTGACGTTTGATCCGAAGTCGGAGAGAGAGCTGGACAAGATTATCGATGACGTCGCTTTGAGAATAGATGCAGAACGACCAAGCGTAGGTTTACTAGTAGAAGTGTTGAGTGGGAGTGGCGTGAACACATCAGGAAGGTCAGGCGAGGTAACCCGGATGACTTAGAAGGGCTTGTTGACAGACTGGTCGCGCGAAACAAGAGTTTTGATCGACTACGGGAGGTTTGGGCAGTGAGTGGAGAGCTGGGGAGGTTACAGTGGCCGAATGACCGGTATACCTTGTATGAAGAGCTGGATGGCCTTTTGCAGAGTATTCGAAGAATGTGCAGGCGCGCGGGTTGGCATTGCTATTGGACGGACGATTACGTACTGTCGTTGATGCAGAGCAAGA